GAAATAAGGTTGGTTGAGCTCTGGTGGCCTAGTGGCAAGAAGGTGTACTGCAATCCCAGAGGTGCATGGTTCAAATCCACCAGATGCTTTGCTGGAGAAGGAGGAACAATCTCCTCCTGTACCAGTCAGATCTGGTTTGACGGTACACACACACAAAATAATAAAACTAAAAAAAAAAAAAGAAAAGAAATAAGGTTGGACAAAGAATTATTATATTCTATTCAGATAATGTTTTATTCATTGTAAATATTTAAAAAAAAACAAAACAACAACACAGAGATGATACACACAAGTCTTACCTGATGGACTACACAGGAATTAGATTGACAACATGTGTGGAATGAATCATTGGAGAAACTTAATGGTAGCAGTCAAAGTAGGGTAGAGACTGGCTGTGGATCAGAACGTGAATCACTCATGTGCAAGTTCAAACTGAAGCTCAGCATAATGGAATTAAGAGCACAAAAATAAAAATAAGACCTTGAATCTATCCCACCAGAATTTCAACCTCACTTCAAAAATAGATTTGAGGCACTGGACACTAATAATTAAATATAGATATGGTGTAGAAAGATATCATGCATGAAAACAGCAAAAGAACCTTACAAAGACCGGGGAGAAAGATAAACAACAAAATGAATGTCAGAAGAGACTCAGAAAATGCACTACAACATTGAGAGGTCAAAACAAAGGGAAGAAATAGTAAAGTAAAAGAGATGAGCAGAAGATTTCAAAGGACAATTTGAGCAAACCAAACAAGTTATTCTAATGGAAAGTACAAGGAACTGGAGTAAGAAAATTTAAGAAAGCAAAAATTCACGTGGCATTCCTTAAGTTCAAAAATGGAAAAACAAATTCAAACCTTGAGTTGCAATCCTGAGGGAGGATACGGGCAAAATCTTGGATAATGCGTGATGTATCAAAATAAGATGGAGTCACTGTAATATAAAGATTTGGCTGACACAGAACCATGTTAGGAAGTAGCTTATGATCATGAACCTGTTATAATGAAAAAAACATTCAAGCTGCACATTCAAGTTATTGTCAAAAAAAGGCCCTTGAAATTGATGGAATACAGATGCAGCCCTGGACATGTTCACCAATCTGTGCCAAGAAATTTGGATGACAGCTACCTGGTCAACTAAATAGAAGAAAACCCTATTTACCCCAATTTCCAAAGAATCCAACAGAATGCAAATTTGGATGACAGCTACCTGGTCAACTAAATAGAAGAAAACCCTATTTACCCCAATTTCCAAAGAATCCAACAGAATGCAAATAATCAATGTCATCATAATCTATAAGTAAAGACTTGTTAAAGAGTATTTCTTTTATTTAATTTAGTTTGTTTCTTTTTCATTTCAATGAACAGCTACAGAGATTTTGGAATTCCATTTATTCATTGTTGCACCCTCCTCGCTGCACAAACCCCTCCCCCCTCCCCCCCACACTAAAGAGTATTTTTAAAATGCTAAAATAGTAACTCAACAGAGAACTTCCAGAAATGTAAGTTAGATTCAGAAGAGGTACTGGCATGAGGGATATAATTGTTAACAATAACAGTCCATGACAATGAGTTAGATTTCCCAAACCAAGAGCTCACTTCTGACTAGGTGTTCCTGTACTTCTTCTCTCATGGCTGTGCTTTAATAAGAAAAAAAAAAAGCACTAGGTAAAAAGTCCCTGATTATCCACAATGCATCTGGATTATGCAGACTGAGTTTATGACTGAACCTCTCAAATTATTAGATCAAGACCTTGGTAGCAGCAGTCAAGAAATCAAAAGACATTTTGCATTGGGAAATTTTGCTGACAAGGATTTCGCCAAAGTGTTAAAGAGCAAGAATGTCAGTTTACAAAACAATAATGAGATTAGAATAGCAAAATTTAGCAGAACAGCAAACATCAAATGCTGGCAAGTTTGTGGAGAGACTGGAACTTTTATTCATTTTGGTGAGAGTATAAAATGGTGTAACCACTATAGAAGTCTGTATGGCACTTTCTCAAAAAGTTGCAAATAGAAATACCATTTGACCCAGCAACGCCACTACTGGGAGTTTACCCTAAAGAAACCATAACCGCCACCCAAGCAGATATATGCACACCCATGTTTATTGTGGCTTTGTTTGCAATAGCAAAGGGCTGGAAACAACCCAAGTGCCCATCAACAAATGAATGGATAGATAAGCTCTGCTATATTCACACAATGGAATACTATGCAGCATTGAAAAACAAAGAACTCATGAAATATTATACAAAATAGGTGACCCTGGAGGACATTATGCTGAGTGAAATATCTCAGTCCAAAAGGGACAAATACTGCATAGGGCCACTGCTGTAAAATGAGACTGATATCGGGGTTGAGGGAAGACTAAGAAGGAGGGGATGAAAGATTTTTACTGCATTGAAACAGATGAGGGAGAGAACTGTTTAAAAGGGATATATGATTGGGCATTATTGTCATGACAGGAGTCTGAAATGAAGGCTGCACAGTGGAGTGGACTTGGGGGGAGGAATTGCATAACAATGCAAGAGTGTTTTCTTTTACTTTTCTAGGAGAAGAGTGAATTGGGGGGGAAGGGATGGCCAGGGAGAAAAGTGCAACAATGAATAAATGAAAACCCTAAGTCTCTGTAAACTTTCACTAAAAGTAATAATAAAAAATATAATAAAAGTGAGTTTGCATTAAAAAAGAATGTCAGTTTAAAGTCTAAGGTGTATTTGATTCAAATCATGACTTTTTCATTTACTTGCAATGAGTCTGAAAACTGGACAGTGACTAATGGATGATGCAAAAGATGAACACATTCAATTACTGAGTGAAAAGCTGGGTAGAGTAGCAATCTCTAAGAGGCACCTAAGAAGAAAGGCCTGATGATATTCATTCTGTAAAATAACCATCAAAAATCCTGATGTACACAATAACACTCTCTTAAGACAGGTAGCAGTCATGAGTTCAAATGCACTCACTGGCACCTTGCGGTCAAACAAGTCCCGACAATCTATCATTGGAAAACACTTAAGAGTTAGAATGTTGAGAATATAAACTAATGACAATTTTGATCTACAAAATTGCCATTAATTCCTCAGAGGGGAAATAAAGAATACAAAGTAGTCAAGAAAAGACTTCTATCAGGGTCTGAAAATTCATGTTTGATATTCAATTTCTTTTCTTGGTTTTGGATGGGTCATGTTCTAGGCTGGGTTCACTAAAGAAGCAAAACCAATGATGATATATAGATATATATTTGTAGATATGTGTACACAGAGACACTTATTCCAAGAAAAACCTCATTTAGTTGTAGAAGATGGACTACCTCAGTTCAGAAATTTGTTCAAATTTAAGTTACTTTATCTATCATTCATTTAAACAATTTATTTAAGCAAAACAAGTTAGATGGATGACTATCACATTAAAGAATGAATATTTCTTTTCCTTTTTAAATTTGAATAGGTGATACAGTTAAGGTTATATACCAGTAAGACAAGCCATAATTCTCAGAAACTTAGCTTTGATGACGTGGTTGTATAACAATGTAGAGGTCTCAACTTGTGCTCTTCCATAATGTAATTGCAAGAGGATGACATCTCATACAACAATCCTCTCCATAATAATATCTTTTATGACAATAAAACCATCTTTTAGGTGAGATTTGGTATAACATGATTATCTTCATGATGATATTTGCAAGGAGTGGCCAATCAAATTAACTGTAGTTTCCATCAGGGTGTGGCTTATCCTATTTATATGGGCATTCTGACAAAGTGCCCTGGTTTGACTTACTCTGCACTGTACCTCTGCTTAGATTTCCTCTGCTCTCTGAGTACCAGGACTTGAGCAAGTAGTCGGCTGTTTGGTTGCCTATCTTAGATTCTGATGATTTTGAGTCTTATAAGTCAGTACCCTGAAAACTGGACTTTCCTCTTGGTTGATGAGTGCCTGAAGTTTCGTTAATCAAGCCTTCAGAACTCTGAACCTAGGACCAGACAGCACCTAGGAACCGTAAGTCATTATCCTATGTTTAATTTCCCTACAAATGCACATGTATAAACTAGGATGATTTTGCTTCTGTAGAAAACCAGCATAGCACAAGACTCTTTGATATTAACATGCTGACGAATTGAAAAATGATCAAAGCATATCTGCTCTTAATATTAAATGTATTCAAATTAATGACTAATGTATACTTTGTGTAAGAAGGAAAGAGGAAAAGCTAGAGTGATGGTGCAAGAGAGGATTGACCTTGAGATGGATTGACTCGGTGACTGGGGTAATGGCAGAAGGTGTGTCGGATGATAAGGTTGGATCAGACTAGAGCAGGATTCAGAGCTGTCGTTCATAGGGTTGCAAGTGACTCAATGACACATAAAAGTAGTCTTGATTTTAATTTCTTTTACACAATTGTGGTTTTTTAAAAATTGTTTTCCTTTATTGTCGTACATTTTCCTTGCTCAGACTTCACTTCCCTTTCCCCAGTCATCTTTGCAATGTTCCTCTTGTTCTTGACTGTTGTGATGTCTGTAGTACCTAATTATATATTCCTGTCAAACATTCTTCCCTTCACCTGCTCCAATGAAGTATTCATTATAGATCCACTCTTTTTCGATTCTCCCCACAGCCACTCCATATGAATCCTATTTTATAGTAGCAATATTATGCAGTCCTTTTGTAACTGATAATTTTAAAATTTTTCCAAGGAACTTTACAGCGCATCAGAATTACAATTCTTTCTGGGCAAAGGAAATAAGAGCTAGACTTCACCAAACCGAACCATTAAGTGCAATATAAGGAGGTGATAGACAGCAAGGTAAGTGTTCTGACTCTTCTGAGGACCTTTCAGAACTGTTGAAAAAGATAATGCCTATGAGGGGGCTGTAGTTTCATTTAACTGACTTTGGAAATGAGATTGAAGTCTGACAAGTCTTCATTTCCACCTTTTCAGAGCTCCTGGATAAACGAATCATCTGAAATTTCCCTTGGCTGAAATTCTGAGAGCACAATGACCTCCGCAGCCTCCCTGGAAAACCTGCAGACTGAAGTCAGCTGTCCCATCTGTTTGGATTACTTCAAAGACCCAGTGACCATCGAGTGTGGCCATAACTTGTGTGGCGATTGCATCCAGCAGTGCTGGGAAGGTCTCCAGGCCTTCTTCCCGTGTCCAGTCTGATTCCACCACTGTCATGAGAATCATTTCAGCAAGAACACCCAGCTAGTTTACATTGTGGAGAGTGCTAAAGAGCTACTACGAGGAAGCAAGAAGATTCAAAAGAAAGGGAATCCCTTGTGTGAGAAGCACAGCGAGGTGCTGACCCTCTTCTGTGACACAGATCTGGAGCTGCTGTGTGCTCAGTGCATTATAGCCTCCAATCACCAGGGTCATCGCCTGATGGACATTGAGCAAGCTGCAATTCACCACAGGAAGAAGCTCAAAAGCCACGTTGTGTATCTGTCGAAACAAATTGAAGATACTCAGTCTCGATTTCAAGAGCAAAAGGCCAGGTCACTTCAGTTGTTGAAAAAAGTGGAAAGGAAAAAACAAAATAAATTTGAATTTGAGTATTTTAAGCAGTTAGTGGTAAGGGAGAAAGAAGCGATGTTGAAGCATTTTCACAAGGAAGAAAAACAAGTTAAGGAAAAAATAACAAAAAACATAGCCTTAATTTCAGAACATGTATCCACCATGAATCAACTGCTATTTGGCATAACGGAAAAGATTATGCAGACAGACGCGGAGCTAATGAAAGTTATTGACAGCATCTACAGCAGGTATGAGGATCTAAAAGAACCAACTCTGTTTTCTCATGAAATACAGGAAAATTTTTGCCATTTTCCTCCACAACCCATTGTTCAGCAAACATTTATCAGCACATTTAAGGTTAACTTGAAGCTTGATCTTGACAGTGCTCACCCCAGTCTCATCTTATCTCAAGATTTAAAGACTCTGAAATATGGAAATGTCACAAGAAACTCATCGTACAATCACAAGAGGTCTTTTTCATACCCGACAGTTCTGAGTTCTCAAGGATTTGATGCTGGCAGACATTTCTGGCAGGTTGAAGTGACAGGCACAGATCAATGGGCCCTTGGTGTGTGTGAAGATTCCTTTGGCCATGAGGCTAGTCCATCAGCAAATGCAGTGTACAGATACTGGCAAATGGACCATTGCAGTGGTAAATTTGGTTCAGATGATATACACAAACTGATTGGTTTTTTTTTTTATTTTGAGACAGGAGAGCTTTCGTTTTATAATATGAAAACTAGATCTCTTGTTTATAGAATCACTGACACGTTTACAGAGAAAGCTTGGCCTTATTTCTCCACTGGAGCTTCTGCAAACACTCTTAGAATTTGTGAAATCCCAGAAGAATGCTGAATGAGTCTAAACTTGTATACTTCTTTCTGTATATTAGGGAAGAGTTTTAGTTGGCTCTTGAACTTTATCCTAGTTTCAAAATAATATCTTAAGAGTTATATTTTCAATGTAAATGGAAAGCAAAATACTTTATTGTTATTTCAAAGCTAATTATGACATTTGTAATGTATATTTTATAAGAATAACAAAGGAATAAACTACCAAATACTT